TATTCAACAAATATTAATTGCTACTTCAAGGTCTTATAACTACTTAGAGCAACAAAACGTGAAAGCTGTGCAAGGATGTGAATACTTTTGCAAGACACTATATAAAAGCGTTTCTTTTTTTGGTGGAGAAGAACAAATTCAGAAAAAATCGATTTTTGTTTTCAATCCTTAATTGGGTGGAAAGACAAAAATGTAGCTGTAAGGTAGAAAGCCTGCCTTATTTGTTATGGGTGAGGAAATAATCAAAATCACAAAATAAAAACTGAAGCACTGCTTTTACTAAGTGGACATCTTTCAGTCCCTCACTGTACACACCAGGCAACTAAGCTGCTTACCAGCTTCCCTGTCACAGTCTCTCTCTATCACGATTCTTATCTCAAAACTATTTCCAAAAGACTACTCTGTCACAAAGACTCACAGTTCCCCTCAACGTCCTTCCACAGCTCATTCATGGGCTCCTTCTCCCACTGCTGCAATCCTCTACAGTGGATCACCAGGTGACAGATGCAGAGTGACCACTGAAAGCCACTGTTTCCTCGTTTGTAAATCACTTGACCAATCATCTTCCCCCAACTGGTCAGGTGACTGAGGGCAGCAGGTCATTCGTCACAACCTCCTGGGAATGCAAGTGAGACAGGAACTGTCATCCCCAAACAGTATAACCCACCACAGCCAAAGCATTCACTACATCATCCATAGTCCTATTGACACTTTTTAAAAGGATTTAGAACTTTATATAGAAATCAATTCATTTCCTTCTTAAATGTCATGTTAATTCAAAACATTAGTCACGCTTAAAATGACTAGCATGTATGCATACTTTGAGAGAACGGGAATTATTTAACTTTTCAATTAGGCAGCAATGGATAATGCTGTGACCTAATGACTACTTGTATTTACTTGACATTTAAATTGAATGTAAAATGGAAGAATATAATTTCTGTAATTACTGTCATGCTATATTCAGAGTTATTCAGTCACTTCTTGGTAGAAGAAATTGATTAAGAGGTACCATATCCTGAGAATATTATGACTTTTTTTAACTTTATCTTCTATCTTCTGGCCTCTCTTCTGCCTCATTCTGTGAGTCCCTGCTTTCAGGCCCAGGCGTTTAGAATATTCACTCATTCTACCAAATTGATTTACACCCTATTATTTCTGTTTCGGAAAGCTTTTGGAAAACGTGAGATGTTATTCTTTAGATGATTGTCCTTATTCTATAAAAAAAAAAATTTGTTCTGCTTGAAATAGAAGAAATAAAAACAAGTGACTCACCTGTTTACTGCCACACTTTTGTATCAAATAAGGGGTTATTGTAATTTTTTTTTTCAGTGACTCGCAGAATAAAACATAATAGCAAGGAACAATTCATTTCCCAATTTATTAATAGAAGACAACATTGGATTTTCCTGCCAATGTCTGCTTGATTGATCATTGTGAACCCAATACTTAATCTTCACTTTCATCAAAAAGAATCGTGTTAAACAATAGGAACCTCATGTTGTGCACTGCAGTAGATTACTGTTCTTTTCATATGCAGCTGTTATTTTATTCTACTTGTTGTCATTATACTGTATATAGCACAACTGGAGTAATACTGGTTGGGGAATAATTAAGTGTCGCTAAAACAGAAAATGCCAAACTTTCCTCATCACATTCCCCGCAACATAGACAATGCTTATTCAGACATATTCATAATTTCATTGTATTTTAAAGGATGAATTCTCCACTCAGGGTGATAGAAGTACTGGAGAGCCATAGAGATCTGTGCAAGGTCCATTGTTTTCTCTAATTTATATCAATGATCTGGACTCTGGTATTAAGTCTGCATATTATGCCAGAAAAGGAGAATTGGCAAACGCTGTAGAATCTGAAAATGTAAACTCAAGAAAACTTCACTTTTAAATTCTAGACTGGGCAAACACTTAGTATGCCGATAACGTATGTAATGTACTGTAGACAAATGCAGCATCGTATCCTGTGTCTTTGATTGTCTCCACAAACAGGTTTTACTCCCTGAAGCCAGGAGAGCAAAAGGTGACATTGGTTGGAAGCAAGTTACCAACAAAATTGAAAAAGGTTGTTATAGTTCATTAATACTTAATCTGAAGCTCAGGAAGAAGAAACATTGAAATACGGAAAAATAACGGAAGTTAGTTTGACAAGACATGGCAGCCGCATTTCTGACTTTGTTTGCTACAGTAAAACTGTGCAGTAGATGTAGTCTGTGTGTTTCCAGTCTCCCTGCACACAGTATGTGCCATGTTAGTGGTGTGAGCAATTTGCAGCTGAGCTCAGAGGACAGGGTGCTGCCAGATGATGCTTCAAGGTATTCAGACGCCCCAGCGTCTGGTTGCTGTGGTGATCTAGTCACACGCAAGTAAACTTCCTGTGCACATGAGCCCCGCAGTGATCTCCCTGGAGTGCACACTGAAACCACCCCACTCTGGGCAGAATCAGGTCTGAGAGGCACACTGCTTTTGTGGCTTGTCGTAGACAAGGTATTATCACCACCTTTTTATTATATATTGGGGTTTAAAAGGCTTGGGTAGCTGATACTGGGGAACATGTTGAATGCATACAGCTTAAAGCACACAGGAATGAGTGTTTGCCATTTGTGACATTGATAGGGCTTCATTTTATGTCCTTTTTAGTTACTGCAGCACCCATAGCTCTCTGAAAAAGAGGAGGGAATTAATGACATTTGAGTTTTAGATTTTCTTGACCCTTCTCTCTATGCGTTCTTTTTTGCAATCAAGTTAGGTCTTTCAGTTGGATTGTTTTAATCTTCTGTGTTTTTAGACTGCTTTTGAAATTGGTTGTATACAGTATGCCTTGTATGATCACCTTTCTTTGCAGATAAAGATTCTGGGTGAAGCATACCAAAAAGGTCTTCTGATTGCCTATATTTTGGGCACCTTGGGGATATTGTAATAAGGCCCTACTAATGAAAAAAGTCCATTACATTTATTTCCCAAAGGTGGATAACAATTACATTTTTACAGATTCTTATAACAGGTTTCTGAAAATTCTATATAAATCCTACACTTCTTATAAAATTATTTGTTATTAAAAAAATGGTCATTAATAAATATCTGCCAGTATTCTCTTATGAGATTCCATAAAGGAAATCTGCTCCTACAAATGGCATAATCAAAAAAGATGCATTTTTTGTCAGTACAGTGATAGAAGTTCCCGTTTCTTCTGGTACACCAGCATATTAATGATATATGCTTCTGAATTATGTCTATTTGAAAAAATCCATTACAAATGGCTCTATAATTTTGCTCTGCCTCGAATATTCACTGATAGGTACTATATATCCAGACCAGTGCACTTTGTCTGCTTACTAACAGTCTTTTGAGCAGCAGAGAAGGTATTTATGGGCTTTTAGCATTTATACATCAGAAATAGGAATGCACCCAAATGTTATGAAATATTAATAAAGCTTTAATGAAAAGATGCACTAAAATGACACTTTGTTGAGACTTGCAGTGGCATGGGCATTAACAGTACTGAAATGCCAGCATTGTGGTAGCTAATGCCGCCTTTCTCTGTGGCCTATTATGCCTGTTCAGTGATTAATAATCTCACAACATCATACACGTTATTGGCTTGCTTTATGGGGCCCATAAAAAGTGCTTTGTCTAGTTGGAGACAAGAAGGCGGCGTCTAGCATCAATGGTTTAGATGCGTTGGTAATTGCCTCTGGATCTTCGTATCTATGATTTGATTTGGCAGTATTTCTGAAGAGAACAGCAGTTTTTCATTTTACAAGCTGTTTGCATTCACAGTAAGTTTGGACCCTGATCTTTCTGCTTGCATAAAAACATCTGTTGAGGACAATTAGATCCCAATTGCTTACTCGCTCCTCTGAAATTACCTTTGTGATGCATGTAATCTCATGGAAAAGTGGGGAAGTGGTTCTTTAAGTTTGGCTAGACCTTACCACAAGAGATCAATTTGATAATCTTTAATATGTGTTGGAAAAAATGACTTTTTTCCGTGTCTTTTACAGCACAAATGTACTTCCAGTGTACAGTAGTTGTCTGTGGGGAAACTGAAATCCCTGTCTATGCTTACAGAGAGATTTACCCCTTAGGAGCAGGACCAGTATCTACTGATTGTTGTTTTCTGTTTTCCATTAAAACATTTGTTCATCACAAATTAAAGAAAACTAAATCAGGTTTCTCAGACAAAGGTCTCACTTCTTGTATGCTGTGTGCAGAGAGGGGAAAAAACAAAATTGCTTACAGTCATAGTCTTAATTTAGACAGTTCGAGAAAATGATTATTGCTCATTTAATAGCATTCACAGGCTTTATGAATACAGTTTCCCTTATTGTCCTAGAAAATGTGTTATAACAATATTCAGTATTCACAATATTCAACATTCTTGACATAGAGCATTTCTTTGTTGTGTATCTCTTTGTGTGATCTAGTAGTACTGTTATTTTTTTAACATTGTTATTTTTGCTTTACAAATATGCCCCTGAAAAAAGATCCTTAAGATAGGTTCTTTAAAAAATCAAGCTAATGTTAAATGAAGCTTTTAAATTGTATTACTGGCTGCATTTAATATAAAGCCTTTGTAGCCAAGGGTTCTTTATGCACGGCACTCTTGCATGGCACCAAATTTCATGTGTTTATTAGAGAATTTCCACCTGTAAGTAAATGATATAAGATCTGAGGCAGCCCAAAACAATTAGCCTAGTTTGTTCCATGACACGTTATACCCAGGATGTGTTCTTCTGACTATGAGGGTGTTTTACTTAACTGAATTCCTGTCAGCTGGCAGCACAGCTTTCTAGTCCTAAGTAAATAAATAACTGGAAGTTCTTCACACTCCAAAAGGCATCGCAAGGTCAGCCTTCCAGATTTTGTCTGCTGGAGAAATTGTCTGATGGGTTTTGAGGCAAACCTGCAATTTATTATCTCTGCTGGAGCCGATCTCTGTTAACATTCAGGGCCTTGTTATTTTTTCTTTCTGTTCCCAAACAGCCGAGACTTCAATGCCCGAAGATTACCTAGTTGACCCCATAGATTCAAAGCGGTACTCGGTGGACCCCAGCGACTCTGCGTTTAACTCCATGAGCTCTCCCTATCCGCCCAAGCCCTCTTATGGCTATCGCTCCTGCCAGCAGTTTTCCGGAGGCCCGTGCAGGCAGACGTCCAGCCCCAGCACCTTCCAGGAAGGAAACAGAAGTGGTAATAATGGAACCGGGGTGTGCACAGGCACTGTTGTAGAACAGTCACTGCAAGTGTCGTCTTCATCAAGACCAACAAAATGAATCGCAAACGTTTAATAAATCAGTATCGCCAAAATCGATTAAATCAGCATTCTCTGGCTTGGAGGAGCACTGGACTTGTAAAAGAGAGGAAACCTTCAATGCAACTTACTTCAGATGATGTAGATTACTTGACATATGAAGTCTCAGTTGTGCTGACAGATGTTTTCTGTTAAGAAGCAGCCATGTAAAAGCCTGTTTTATGCCGTTTGTATGTGATTTTGTAGGATATGAGTCTGGTCACAGCTCATTCTAAAAGTAATGTTAACCTAATTTTTGAGATTTAAAAGTCATTCGATCTTTCCGTCTTTACTGTTCGTACTGCTTGTGTTACATATGTAATATTTTAATACAGTGCAACCTTATCCCATACCCTGTTAAATCGTTTGGATCACCAAACTGGGCAGTTGAATGGGAGTGTGCGCGTGTGAGGGTGAGACTCAGGCCCCTTTGTCTTTGCTCAGCCTACAGTCCGTCTCCAGAGACGCAGGAGTCCAAGCCCCCGCCCAGCAAGGACCCCTCCACCTGGACCGTGGACGACGTGGTGTGGTTTGTGAAGGACGCAGACCCTCACGCTCTGGGGCCGCACGTAGAAGTCTTCAGGAAACACGTAGGTTGGCCCGAGCTCAACTTTCAAAAGTGGTGATGGAGTCATACTCTTTCAGGACAGGATTGTACTCCACTTTCCCATTGTGTGACAGCCTTCGCTCTCCAGCCAGCCCTGGGGATCACATTCCTGAAAAACCTGTGGGGGGGAAATACTCATGGATAGGGGAAGCTGGGGGTTCGCTTTCCATTAACTGTATTCTACTCCTTATCGTCTCATATAGCTTGTAGCTTTCGCCTTAGAAATGACAGACACTGTATACAACAACCTGACCTCTTACTTACCTCGTGAAAGTTATTTACCTGGCTGGCGAGGGAAGCCTGTGTTCTCTACAGATGTTATTGATATTGCTTTTTTTAAAGCCTTTTTATTTGTTATATAATTGTTTTTCTTTTTGGTAAATTATTGATTGTTGTAATTCATTAATTGAACATTAATTGATTTAGTTGCTTTGAATGACACATTATCAATTTCTGGTGCATTTTATAACAGTGATGTGCAGTCACTGATTTTATACAGAAGCCCCTAAACTGTCAAAAACTAAAATAGCTCTCACAGTTTTCGCTTAGCTGACTGGAAGTATGCATTCCCTCCCTTAAGCAGATAGTGAATCTGTCTTTATCCGTTTTGGAGCTTTGTCTTTGCAGCTCTGCAAGACTGAAAGCTTCTTCCTGCATCATTAGTCTTTTTAAGGACTTGTTTCAAAAGGGAGACATTCGGGGAGCTTTTCATACCAATGTTAGATTCTTAGTTTTTGTGTTTATTCTAAAGTATCCTTCCTTGAAGAACTAAAAACTGCTGTGTTAGACTCTTACTCAGGGGCTGTGTTTGCCTGTTTTGTTACAGGAGATAGATGGTTACGCTCTGCTCCTTCTGAAGAGTGACATGATAATGAAATACCTGGGACTGAAGCTGGGGCCAGCCTTGAAGCTCTGTTACCACATAGATAAACTAAAACAGGCCAAATTCTGAAGGCTCCTCACCAAACCTCTAGCTGATTGCATTAAACAACGGGGTAATGCAATTTTACAGTATTTCTGTTAAAAAAACAGTTTTACTATAATTTGTAGAAAGTGTTACGTTCTTTTTCATTCGGGAACTGTTGTAGCCACCTAAAGAGGCACAGGCTTGTGAAAGTATTTGCCTGTGGGTCACTAACTGGCCTGCGAAGATGAGTCAGTTCTGTGTGCTACGCTACGCTCCTGTACAGCTGATACCTTATTTCTTTAAGTAGGACAGTGTGTTAAAGTTCAAACAGGTGCCATTGGTGAAAATGCCTTTCCATGAAATCACCGAAGCATAATTGGTTAATGACAAAAGACGGGATTAAATGGAAATGAAACAGTTGGAGAAAATGTCATTGCTCGCCAAATAAACCGCCTTTCTTTCCCAGTTCAAGAAGATTAATGTGGAATTGACGTACAGTATGAGCTTTGCCAACTGTAGGTCTTCTTTCTGCCTGCTGGAGCTAAAAAACAGACTGAGGTGCCCTGCTGTGCATGGGAATTCAAGGGTGACTTGGTCCATCATCTACCCAGTAATGAATGGAGAAATGGAGCTGCAACAACCAGGTACAACTTTCCTGCAATTCAAGGGAAACCCTCAAGCTGCCTGTCTCTAGGTCACCAGCAAAGATCAGAAACGTGGTGCCTCTACACTTCAAATGACTCCTCTGATCACATATTTCACCATGAATGGTGTACACTGTCATTTGATCCAGTTAATTTCCAGAAGACATGTCCTGAGGCATAACGAAGATGAACGAAAATATATTAATACCCTTGACACCTGCTGAAGATAATAATTCTAATCTCACACAGACATATTTTTTTATTATACAAATCATCCAGGTACTGTATGTTTCCATGTACCTGTTTCACGCTGACCAGGTAATGCTGGGATTTTTAATCTACATTGGTAACAGACTTTGTATATGTAACAAGCTTTTGGTGAGCCAAACTTAATTAATAATTATAGCACATACTTTGGCTCTGGCCTGATGACACTGATGATACGGAAGTACAATTCCAGAGATAAGAAATATTAAGGTTCATTCTCTGGCCTGAATAAAATTCAGAACACCTCTGTAGCTTGTTGACTGATGACTTTTCAAATTTCACAAATTGTGTACAGTTAAAACCTATCGCCCAACATGAGGCAAATAGTAATCCTGTAATTAAATGCATATTATGTTTTTTAGTTTGATTTGTAGGTAGGGCATATAGATTTGCGTTTTATTGTTTTTGTACCATAGACAGATTTTTAGGATTTACAATCAAACAGTAGAAGATGAACTCATTCAGGAAAATTTGCAATTTTTAAATTAATTTTCCCTACCACAATCAAACTCCTTCCTTTTTTTGCATTTAAATTGTGATGGGGAACAGCATTTTATAAGCCGTTTTTTTTAGCTATATACAGTATATATGAGCTTGATGTTTTATATGTATCTGAGTAAATTGCAATTGTAAATAATGTCATTTTAAATGAAGTTAGTAATGTATGTTAAAATATAAGACATGGTACTGTCACAAACGTTTTGGCCGATGTTACCTGATTTTGTTATTTTTTAAACATCAGTATATTTAGAAATTACAGTAAAATGTGAGCAATCGAAAAAAAAAAAGTTGTAAACGGCTGTTAATTGCTTTGCTGTCATAAACGTTCCTGCTTGAGTCACTGTGGCTTCTTCTACCTGTCTCCTGTAGTGTTCTGAAGATCTCACTTATGCATCTGAGAGGAAGCCTTTGCTTTGGCTTCCTTTAACACTATCATTTCAGTAATATGGCCATCGATAAGGCAGAGTTTCATCTCAATGCTGAAACCATTACCGCTTCCAGCTAGCTTTTAAAGCAGAGGCACTTAGTGCCAGACACTTGAGTAAAGAAAACTCTTCAGCATCTTTTTTTTAAATACCACTGTCACAATACTTGATTTGAAATGGCCTTTTCATACAAATGTCAGTCTGAAAACATTCAGCTTTGATTGTGTGTGTGTGTATTGCATTTATGTATTTTTTTAATAATACGTGTATCTGAATGCTGCTTTTATGATACTAGATATAACCCAAGTCACAAGTTATCAAACAGAAGTTTATTATTGCGATTCTGAGAAGCTCTGGTGCAAACAAAATGTACCAGGATGGCTGCTACTGGATCATTTCATGTTGGTGCTAACTTCAAATACTTTTAGTTTGCATTGGTGTTGTGAATATCGGTGATTTAAAGCAAGAACATAAGTCCTGCTTCGCTTTGGCGAGACTTAAACTGACAGAGCATTAGATCTGATGAATGAAGCATTACACTTTATCTTGACACTTCAACCTTGTTTTGGACACAATCAAGAAGCACTTCTTTCTGCATTCAACAAGTTAAGCAGACAGATTACCTTTGACTTGATTTATGTATCAGACAAGGACGCACAGTGTTCGACAGGGTGCAAAACCTGGAATAAAACAATTTTCCAAGACAAAATCAAATAAATCAAAGAGATTCCTTTTTACTTCTTCGGTTTTCTTGATTGTAGCCCATCATTCGAACACTGAGGTCCTAATGGTAAAGATTTATTAAATTATCAGCATTATTATTATTATTGCTGCTGTTATTGCTATTATGTACCTTTTCCTGCCTCAGCTGTGATCAGAGCCGTATTATTAAGATAGATTGACTGGGTTAGGCCATCCAGACAGTGATGTATTTACTGAATTTGTCTATTAGTCTGCTCTGACATGTTACATTGACTAACACAAGTGTTTTAAGCCCAGCTATTGATCTGCCTTCAAAACTCATTCTTGATTTAATTTATTAGCCTGTGAGTTGATAAGGTTTTAAATAACCAGGTATAATGGCTATTTTTTCACGCTTAGGGTTTAGGCTTTGTTCACAGTGATTTTGTGATTTGGTACCCACATAAAGTTAACATGGTTTTATCGTGTGGTGTTTCTTGGACTCCTGCTGAAAGGTGTTGCATTGCTGGTTTCCACGAGTAGCTACTGAAGAGAGCAAATGTACTGCTTGCAAACTGAGTGCAAACTGGACTGCTGCAGTATAAAGGTGATGTACAATACATAGAAATAAAAACATGATTGCCTTCAGTAGAATTATATTTTGTTGTAGATAATGTATAATTGTTGATAATTGCCTTTGGAGGAAAGATTTCATGTTATTTATTTTTTAATTGACACCAGTTAGAGATACAGATTTGTATTTCACAGTATTCCAAAACAGAACTTTCTGACAACTTTTCTTTACTGCCCAAAACATGAATCTGTCTTTCGCATTCTGAAGTGCTTTTACTGAAGTGACTGTCCTACACTTATAAAGATAAAATAATTTGGACAGTATTATTAAAAAACTATTAATGAACAACTGTAATAATTCAGGTGGGTAGCTGCGTCATCATGCATAGTCTGCAGAGGAACAAGTAATAGGTTTATTCCATGCTGAAAAGAGAAGAGAGAAAACACAGTTTTTAAGGTGTGAGCTTGTTAGCCAAGTGGTCTTTCCTACATTTGTGTGGCCTGTTAATGCTTCATTTTAAAACCACAAGGTCCTATAGTTGTTCGAAATTAAAATATAAAAACTGACGAAAGAGTTCATATATTTTTGCAAATTAGAACTTGAAACTTGCGCCTTGGATACACTCAGGTGTGATTTGGAGTTTGGAATGTAAAAGTTGAAAGTAAAAATTGTGAAAGTAAATTACTTGAAATATTAAGATTTATTTTTAATGTTAATGATATGTTTGTGATTATCAGAGGCAGCTTAGGAGTAACACACCTGGGCCACAAGAAAAAAGCCTTTTATTGAACAGCTTAATTGTTAGCTTTTTTCATTAAAGAATTTTGTGAATTTTTAAAAAGAGGGCAGTTTAATCTTACCCTAGTCAATAGGGAAATGGGTTATTGTAAGAAAAATGAGGTTATCTGTATTAAATCCAACTAAAGATATTTTGAGAAAATTTTGATTTTATACATTGATATCAGAAGCTTCGGGTGTACAATGGAGGAAATCTGGGCAAATGTACAGTATTCCAGAAAAAAAACAGGAGAAGCTCTCCTCCAAGAGGGGTGGTGGGATCCAATTTTGTTGAGACAGGCGTGGTTGATGCACTGTCGTCAGAAGATCAGTGCTGTTGTTTTCAGGCCAAGGCTTGGACATACTCTAAAACTGTTCTATATAAAGCACTCCTGCGAGCACAGCAGACTATTAACTTGACAGATAAGAGTAAACTGACATTCCAAATTAAAATTATTAACATTTGTATTAGAACAGTGCTGCAGTGTGCTACTGTATATACAGTAAATATGATACAGTACTGCTGCAGTTGAAGCTGTTATTAGTGAATTTATGTAACTTTGGAAATAGTTTATTTTTAAATCTATTTGATTTAAATAGAATCCAGACGTACACAACAGTCTGCCTGCAGTTACAAGTTTTATGGTTTGGATTCCTTCCAACAAAATGAGAAATAATCACACTCCATGACTGAAATTCTGCCATCTTTTTCTACTCAATTTATTCACCCTGGATCCTTTTTTTTCTCTTTGCCAGTAATTATTGTGTTTATTTATTGGAAGACAGACATTTATTGGCTGGTTTCAGAGTTTTGTGTATTGTAATTGTCTCATATTTTCATCTGACTAAAAATGGTAAACTGTAGTGGCTTGAATCATATTGTGGCCTCAACTGGCTAATTCTATCCCTTATCATTAAGTGAATACCAACATAAAATTCAGTTTGTTATGAATAAATTTTGAAATTTCCCTTTGGTTGAACAAAGAGAAGGTCATTATTAGGTGTTTTTAATAAAACGTTTCTGTTACCTCTCATTACCCATTCATATAAGAAAAGACCACATGACCTACAGTTGTGTCATCAATGCAAAGTGTAGTTACACTGGATTCTCCTGCCCATTCCCAGTGAAATGACACAGAGGTCTGCAATCAGTAGTTAAGATCAGTGCGTAAAGGGCAGATCTAAAAAATATGCCAGGTAGTTGAATATTTTTGTCTTTGAGAGCAATATTTTTATTTTTTTTTACCAGGTGAAGTGATTGGCTTTTTATTGGCTGCTTGAGGCTCTGATTTTGTAACCATTCTTCCCCACCATGATTTTTCTCTTCACTTCCGAAGCACATTGTTCTGTAAAGTGGTGTTTGGTGACGTATGTTTCAAAGGTTGCACAACATGTAAACTGCTTCAATAAAAAGAATCTTACTGTATATGAACGTTTTGTAGTCTTCACTTCACATCCTCAACACACAAGGTGAAAGCTGGAAAAAGCACTGGATATCACAGTATTTTGTGAATCAGTGTTACACAACATTGTCTTCAAAAGCCTCTTTCCAAATGGAAACAAGGTTCCAGATAGAATCTACCAATGTTTTCTCATGTTAAATCATATACAGTACTTTAGAGACTGTGCACAAGAATGTCAAAGGCTTGGCAAGATACACAAACCCTTGTGATGCTTAGAATAAAATCAGGTGGAGTGTCAGGTGTATGCTGGAATTATTTTTGCTACCATCTGCCATACTTTTAGGGAAGTGTTTTATCTTGCCAGAGTACAATTATACAGGAATGCTGTATGAATCCTAACCTTGCAGTGCAAAGTATATAAATCTGATCTAGACTATAGTGTACGTCATCCTAGTTCAGGAATAAATGTGGAGATTCAGTATATTTTTAATTATCTCTGTGTACTGTAATTCCAATGGAAAAACTGAAGTTAGATGAAGGGCTGCTTTCAAGTGTGTTCATTCTGATAACCTTCCCTTGCACCCTTTTAAACTATTATTTATTTGGCTGGTGCTTTTATGCATTGCACCTTACAGTTCTACCTGCTTATTCAACTGGAAGTTGTACTTTAGCAATGTTATTTACCTTGCTCCAGGTATTAACAGGAGCTCACCTGGATTTGAGCCCAAAGCCATGCGGTTAGGAGTCAGAGCCCCATCCACTCCTCCACACCGCTGCCCTCTTCTGTTCAGTCAACAGTACTGGCGTTTAGAATAATGCAGAGAATCAGACAACCAGATTCACAAAATCAGAAGTCAAACACACAAAACAATAAAGCCTCCTACAAACTGTGATTCTTTTTGAAATTGGTGAGTTCTTCTTTCTTTTTTTTTTGCCTGCTTGATGGTCATTCTCAAAACAAATTAAGAGGCTTTATTGTCTTTATTTTTGCAAATAAGGACATTTGTTATTTGCTTCAGCCTTTGATTTCTATGCAATGGCCCCCTTTAAAGAACATCTACAGAAATTCTTTAAACCTATTGACTAATTTTGCCATTCTTGTTTTTGCTTTTTTTTGCTTTTCTTTCCTTTTTTGTTTTACCTGTATATTAATCCAGCAGGCAGGCTCCCACAATGGATATCCTTGTGTTTCGTGCAGTTAATAAAAAAATGCAGTTCTTTTATTCCAGAGGCATGCCAAGCACTTTGCATATATTGTAAATGGAGATCCACTTCATCTCTGGAAGTATAACAATTGTGCCGGCAGGTATAAAAATGAGAAAATGTTTAACCACTTGAAGTAAAAGGGAGGTTCAGGAGACCTGTCCTCTCATAGAAGACCTTTCCAGTGTGTATAGTTCTGCAGGGTCGCAAAATCTGAATTCTGAATTCCATTAAGTGATTGGGACGGCTGAAGACAGCAAATCTTTTCCAGTGCTTGGGAAAAAAAAAACGGTTACAACGGTTATCATTATTGTGATAACTGTCATTACCCCTTTCTACAAAAAAAACAACAACAACTGTAGTATCATATTTACCGTACCTGGGTAGAAATGACAGAATTAATTCATTCTTCGTGGAGCATTCCTCCTTACTGCAGAGGAATAGTGCCGGAGAAAGCCTGTCATCTGCTGGCAGAAACCCTGAACTGCAGGTGAGTATTCACAATCTCGCAATTCAGCAGTTCGTGCCATAAAGCGGATTTCATCGTTGGTTGTAGTTTTGCTTTTGGAAAGCATTTATAGATGAGGTTAAGATCCTCATTTTTGGGGGGAGGCAGTGCCTTAGTCTTTTTGGTTAAAACAAACACAAGTTCCATCTGTGATTTCTTTCAATGATCGGAAGTCCCACTCTTAACAGATTTGATGTGTGGGTTGGAAGGAGCTCTGCAATCTATGAGGATTCCCTTATACAGACCAGCAACCAGCTCCAGCAGTGTTCTGTCAGACCAGTGGGAAGTAAAGGGCCTATTAAAATGTCACCACATCTGGGAGGAGATGCAGGTGATAATGCTCACTTGCACATAAGCTTTTTTAAAAAGTTTTTTTTTTTGCTTTGGGAATTGCTACTTGGGAGCTACTGTCTCTTGGTATTACAGTATTAAATAATAAGACTATGAAGAATATTATTTTGTTACACATGATGTTAATAGTTACCACACAATATGAAAATCCTCTTTTGAAAGCCTTGATCTCTGGCACAGGCTTGGTAGTGTGTGAAAGCTTTGCTTTCAGCAATAAGCCATTGATGGATCGCATGAGCATTATTAAACACTGAAGTGAACTATGGAAAATGTCCTATAGCTGGGTCCCTATATTCATCACACACATTTTATAGATTGATACTTTATCACGGGTAAGACGCAATAATGAAACCAGAAGTGAAAAAAGAAAAGTAATGTGTGGCTCTATTTATTGTGTTCATATGCAATTCACTGGGTAAAACAAATACTGTTACAACACAAAAATGATACTTTTAAAGCAGAATTTGTGACAAGTCAAAGTAACATTTTAATAAAAGAATGAGGGGTTCTGTCCTTTTTTATTTTTGTGAGAACAGCATGTCATTCTTCTCACAATACTTGTGCAACTATGTTGCAAATGCTGAGCCCATGAACGTTTTATTTTATTGATTTGCAAATGCAAACACTTGTCAATAATAAATAATACTATAAAATGTTCTGCAAGTACACAAAAAAGGTATAGAAACCACCACAAGGTCAAATTTACATGTAAGTGGGGGTGGGCATGGGTGAACCTGTAGCAAAATTTCTGGGTCATACAAGTCACAGAACAGCTGAGAATCTATACATCAACACTAGCAAGATACCAAATCAGTTTGTTTTTTTTACAAAGTGGGTTTTAAACAAGAAGAAGCGAGCATTATCAGAACAGTAGAATACACAAGCGATAAATTAAGGCAGCATTTCAGTTCACCTTTGAAAAGTAACAATAAAAAAAGTTTTTAAACTTCTCGTTTTTTTTTTTTAACGTCACAGACTTCACTGGACTGGGAAGGTACTTGTTGCATAATACAGGCTGTTAACCACCTTCAGAATGATTTGAACCTACCTGACTGTAACACGATGTGTACTGCCGTTTAAGGGAGGAATTCCTTTCATTTTGTTTTTACCTCCAAATACTGTACAGATTTGCCTTCTAGAACTCGCAAGTTCACATGTAATGTGGTAAACGCTTAGAATGATATTCCAGAAGCCACACTGCTCACTCGTTGACGGGGTTTATGAAAGATACAGTTGGGGAAGGATAAGGCAAAGATCCAGTATGACACACACACGGGCTCAAACATTCCTGTTCTTAGCGGGAAGAACTTGTTTTATAAGGCTCGTGCATCAATTTAAAATAATCAGCCATTGATGATTCTAGCTGCTTTGTTAGTCATCAAAGCAGCTAGAGCTAGACTGCCCAAGATTGAGAGGTCCTAGCAGATCCTTTAAAATATATTTGAAAAGCAGAATACAAAGCCGGTTTTGGCAAAGGTCTCCAAACCGGGATACTGTATGAAAAAAAACACTGGGATGCTTGAACAGTACTAACCACATGGAACATTCAGAATCACTGGATTAAACTGGTTTAATCCAGTGACAAGAGGGGCCAATATTCAAAATGCTTGGGTGACCAATCTTATCCATGCGTGACATTTCAAAGCCATCAGTGCCCAGTCACCTCAAACAGTAATGAGATCCTTTAGAGACTCTTAATAAAACCTATTAAAAAAGTCATAAAATACCAATCTGAATTTGTGTTAAAATGTTCCATAAAAAAACCTTGCTTTTCTAGCAGGTTTCTTAATAAAACTGAACAGGTCACTGATGCCAATACTGACACCATGTGGTTATTTAGGTTAAGGAGCTGCAGCTATCAGGCCTAGTAAAGTAAGTTTATAAATAATTCACATTTTAAGGAACTTAATTGTATACAATGCTAAGACATGTATTAATTTTAACATTTTGAAACATTAATGATATTTTCTACATTTCACTTGACAGGTGATTATGGTCAATTGTCATTTAAAAAAAATCCTTGTTATCATACAGATTTCCAGAAATTAAAAAATGGTGTAATGTGTCTGTGTACATACAATAAACCCTTGTTCCGTTTTGCCATGCAGTCACTCTAAATGAAAACCAGGTCTCTTCCCAACATCTTTATTTTAAACCTCAGAACAGCTGGAAACTACTAATCTCATATGTGCCCCGCTGTGAAGTTATCATTCTTAAAATAAAGACACATGTAGTTTTCATTCTACAATATGTACATTTCCTCTGTGTAGCATGTAAGACACTTTCCAACACCAGCTGGGATTTGCCATGGAAATCATGTTCATGTACAGCAAAGATTATCCTAAACATTGGCATTGATATTTCACGAGAACCTAATTTAAGAAGATAATACTGTATACATCCATGTAAATTTCCGTGATTTAGTGACTAAAAAAGGAGAGATCGATATTTGGATCACTTCCATTTAAAACAGTATTATGAAACGAAGGACAATCTTCCTCAGCTGTTAAGAACAAGTCTGCAATAATCACTTTTCAAGGATGGATCCTTTACCTCAACTTGATGAGGAAAGTCATGCACACATTGAAGAAAATAGAGAAAGCACAGCTTGCAAACTCTTGTTTCATCTTTACACTTAAAAAGAGACTGGGTACAAATATTTGAAAAATGTTGGTAGTCAACATCTATTTGTCTATCAAAGCTACGGTAGGTTCCACAGGAAAGTAGAAATCTAACAATTCTTCCAAAATCACAATTCAGTGTTTTAACACTTCATGAATTGTTATGAACAGACAGGTCTCTGAAAAGCATTTTGTGATGTGGCAAGCAGAAGGAAATGGGTGTATTTGAATTGTTGTGTTCCACCTCGGTGCAAAGCAGTGTTGATGACCTTAGTCCTAAACAGCACTGCGGATAGACAGGGACTATTTTGTGAACTGGGCATCGGCAACTATATGAAGCAGCAAAACGCTTTTATAAGAAAGAACGAGGCGAATAGGCAGGACTTGCTGTTGGCACGTGAAACCACAGGGTGATTGGTGAGTAACAGTTGGAGTGACGTCAAGCTCGTTTGTTGCCGAAGCCTGGTCTCAGGCCTCTGTGTGGGCCTGTGTGTACTGTCACTAGCCTGATGACTGCTTGAACGAATGGCTGAAGACCCACCCAGGTCTTCAGCAGGCCTGTGATGGTGGGGAGCAGCAGCCTGACAGCTGGCAGTGTGACAAATGTCACAGGAGAGAGGGGATGACAGGGATGGTGGGGAATCCTCACTTTCTCACTGACAGAAAGGCATTTTCCTTTCATTTTTTTCAAAAGAAGGCTCTGGCCTAGTGTAATCAACAGTGACAGGGAATGGCATTTTTTAAAGTCTTCTTTACTGCTTGATTTAAATAAAATCCCACCTCCAAACAATTAAAAACCAAAGCACTTAAAGCTGGAGGTTTGCTTTTCGTTTCTTACTAATTCTCCTACCCTCCCCAAAAATCCAAATTTTAATACTGTAACATTCTAGAATTCTACAATAAAGATTTTAAACACAGGACTGAATTCACGTGCTATTTCAAACATGTGAAACTGAGAGATTGGAGGAAACACCCTTTTGCTAAAACCTTGGCTGAAACAGAAGGAATTATGAGGCAGAAAAATACAGAAAAGTAGAAGCAATAATTAGTGTGACATCGAATCCCCGTCTTGGCATAAGAGAACTCTCTCCTAAATGCCTCACCATCAACATAGACAGGTTTGGGTTTCACCACTGATCTGACTCAACGATCTCTAATCTGGACACTGAGCTCTGGTTACACAGGCTGGCATTTAACAGGGCAGGGGAAAAAAAACAGCAAAAACAGAAAGAAAAAAAATCCTTTGTTTAGCAATGTCACATCTGCCTGTCCTGTGCACACAAACCTTGTATCCACTACGAGTAGCACCTCTCCAACTCTGAACAACTGCCTGCCAGCACCAAGCTGCTGTGTGACTTCAGAACAGTCTGTGCTGCCCAGCTCTTAGACTGGGAGCTCTTTTCATCGCACTGACACCTGAAACCGTGGCGCAGGCAGGCTGCTGTGAGTTGCTATGCAGATATACAATTTCTGAAAAGTTATACCATGAAAAATAAGAGCAACCGACGGACCAGAGTTTTAAAAGGAGAAAGGCTGAAACGTGTAACAATTAGACCGAAAAGCTAAAAAACCCAATTAAACCCACATGAAACCGAATTCCTAAAGAAAGAAAAATCAATGCGCACGAACGGATTAGGTTGCGTTCACTGCCTTGACTTCGAAGGGTACAAAAATCCCCCGTTTGTAGAAAGAAAGACAAGAAGGCAGAGGTGGAGAAATGAGTCAGTCCTGGGTTCAAGTCTTTAGCATGTCTGTGATTCTGGTTGACATGAACAGGTTTGTTGGGGTATGCTGCATGCAGCAAAGGAAAGAAACAAAATGTTAAGTGTAATGATGTATCTTAATAACGAACCTTAAGATGCACAGGCCTTTGCTTGAGGCAGAAAGGCATGGGTTTGCCTCCTGTAATTATGACAGGAACTGACAAGATACAAATGAGAAATTTAACTTATTAGCAGAAGCACCTTCAAAGATATGCACTAATGACATATTGCTTACAAAATCACACTTATATCAGATTTCCCCACTAAAATGACATTGTGATAACAAAATTCCACTATTTAGAGCACATTTTTTGACAGTCCTTCAAATAGAGATTATAAGATATCTGCTTCAAATGAACATGCAATAGTTAAGCCATCAGTAAATTTGATTTATAAAGTACTGCAAATATTAAAATATGCTGAATTTGGCTCAATTTTCTTTATTGTTATAAACATATAGCAGGAGCAAAACTCTATCAATAACTTCCAGAAGAGAAGAGTTGCTAAGGTAAGGAGTCACATAAAATTTTGTTTACTATGCAGTTTAGACTCAGTACTTAGTGTTCTTTATATTCTTATCTTTGGATAACTTACTGTCAGAAAATACTGAATTGGTATTGTTTTTAACTGGGGAAACCCTCTTAGTATAGCCTTTCATAGTCTTTATCACTTTTGAAACGATAAACAAGTGAAACAAACTTTAAGAGCAGAATGTGTTAATGTGTTCAATGCGTTAGTGTGACTGAAAACCTGAGTTACAAATAAGAGAGGGTCGTTCGGCCTACCCGGCTAGTTTTGATGCCAGTAACATTAATCAAGGGATTTCATCCAGCTGTTTCTTGAAGGATGCCAGGATTTCTATTTTGACCACATGCCTGGGTTGCTTGTTTAAAACTCCTATAACCCTTTGCGTAACAAAAGTGCCTCCTGTTCTCAGTTTTAAATGCTTTTTTATTGTAGTTGCCCTGTGTGCCTTGTGGTTTGTGTTTCACTTAACAAATCCATTAGCTTGATTTTGTGAATGTCTTTTAAAGAATCAGGCAGATGGACATTATTGAAAAATGAAAGATCTCATCCAGCACACAGCACGAGAATGCTCAGTGCACAACACACTATATAACAAAGTTTTTTGACTTGGGGATCTTTACCTCAAACAATAATGTTTGTCTTATATTGCACATTTCATAATTCGTGTAATCGATCAATAATCTTCAACCATATACGTATATATATATATAAAACATACAAGCATCCTAAACAGTTCCTACAACAGAAAGATGCATTAATGACATAAAATATGTCCAGGTGTGATACTTCTGTTAACAAAACACACACACCACTATGCAGTTTTCTTTTTTTCACTAAGTCAAAGGATGTAACATGACCCCTGTCTAAACCAACACTTTAGTTGTAACATCCTGTCTAGAAGGTGCTTTTCAAAGCCATTTGAAGTGTCATACTGGATCTTTTAATACTGGATCTTTTACAAAATTGGGATTTTAGTAATGACTAGAAACAGTGACTAACTTACAATACAGCAGGAGAATTACTCTAGTGCATCACTCTGCTCAAATCCTACTGCAGGTCCAGTGACACAACGTTGTCCATCGAGCTTTGCTACTCCAGATTTATACAAAAAAAATGGCCTTCTCTTTCCAGTGGAGCTCATGCATGCTCTATTGTACTTTTGGACTTGCTGGCTGTACAAGTGCACACAAGTTCCATTCTACCCTGTTATCCTCCACCCAGTGAATGAGGATTCAATTGCACATTCTCTCTTTACCATGACAGCAAGAAAAGTAAACAGTGAAAGGGGACTATGGGGGTTCCTTCTCACTTTCTCCCCCTCTTATTTTCATTGGTTTGTCCGTACCATTCTAATTATCATGAAAGGCTTTTGCATACGGAGAGATGGATTCCCTGACTTCCTGGATCACTGAAAGCCATCAAGGTTGAAATTTCATCACAGTTCCTTTTTTTTTCCTCCATGACGCCCAGCAAATATTCCCCTCGGATTGTTTTACACCTTCGGGGAGTTTTTGGTCTTCGGTTCCAAACAATCACTCAGTTCCCAGTGGGTGGGGGTGGTGGTGGTGGGGAGTGGGGATCGGCGGGGGGGAATAGAGAAAGCTGAGAAGAACAAACATTTACCAAGTTCTCTTGGCACCCAGTCAAACGCGAAACACAGAAACACAAATTCTACACAGTTCTTCTTGGTTTGGTCAGACTAACAAAATGTAACAATGGCGATACAGCATCGAATAAATGAGAACAATATAGGCCTTTGTAATGGGAGAAGAGAAAACGTATTACTTTTCAAGATAATAGATAATGTTTAGGCTTCATTGCAAAGTGCATCAAAGGTAGTCTATACCCCTGTGATCCCAATATTTAACATTTATCTTAAGGTAGGTAATCCGATAAGGATAGCATGGATTAGTTCAGAACTCTACCTCCAGCCCCTGACTCTAATTATCATGAGCTTCTAAAGTACCAGAGAGAAATAGTACCTTTATTGGTCCAAAAGTAAAATTCAAACAGGAGACAAGTACAGGGCTCAGAGAACAGGCAAGACAGAAGACAAGGGCAGCAGTAGGAACGTCCCAAGGGGCATAACGGTGACTTCCACAAGTATCCGAGTACTCTTGTCCTGGGCAGAAGATGCAGACATGCTGTACTTGCTGCTGCTGGGCTGGAGTCACAGAAACACCTCTGGGTGGGTATGGGTGGCACTGAGCAGGGCCCTGTCCATTCAGAGATAACGTGGGGTGGCCTGACTGCTGGTTGACTGGGAGAGGAGGGAGAGGAAGGAGGGCAGCTGGTGTCTGCAGTGAGATGTGGCACCTCTTCACTTATCCTTTCAGTGGGACACTGCCTTTCATCAGAGCTGAAAGCAGAAGCAAAGGGAGTGGTCACTTGTTTTGTTTTAGTAGAAAAAGAGATGCAACTGCACTTGATGTAAAATAGTCAGAAGCAATTTTTAAGAGAAAACGCTATATTTCAGACAGTCAGAAACAGAGCAGGCAGTTTAGATGCAAGAGGCCTACACATGTATTGTTTCTATAATCCCCAGCAGGAGCAGTCACAGTGAAACATCTGTTTGTATCTTATTCTCTTATTCCCTTCACGTTGTATACCACAAAGATACGGGTTAACACCTATCCACAACACCTTAGCACCACCAGCTAATCAGCTCCTACACTAGATCTTAATAATATAGGTGAGTCGTCAACTCACAATGGGACAGTGAGTTTCATTCACTTGCAACATCTGTGCCTTTAACAAAAAGACCTTCCTCTGTGTCACTTTAACATTATTTATGAATATCCAACTGTTTCTCCACAATCCACTCAATTAATTTTTCCCTTGATTCTATCACCTTATACCTCCTCTGACAGAGAGCTTGAGTCACCCTTTATCCCAATCTCACCCATTTTTATCACCTGTCCTAGGTAGCACCTTACACATACTTCTTCATACATCTTCAACATACTGATGGATACAGCCTTTCTTACTAGCTGTACTGAGCTGCTGGTTTTAGCTCTAGTTCTGTTGACACTGCTCTATTGACACAAATCAGGCCCAACTTTGAAACTAAATTCAAAACTGCTCTCCAATACAGCAAATGCCATCCTTTACCACACCACTCTGTCTCTTAACTTCCCTGATCTTTCATCTACACTGAAGCTCTTAGCAACATGTTAATGAGCCATTCTTCAATAGTTTGTACAGTATTTATAGATAACATATTGCTAAGATTCACAGTAGCAGCAGTTCACAGATGAAAACTACCAAATCGTACTCATAAAGACTCAAGCCTTCTAGTTTCTAAGAACTGATACCTAGTTTCTAATATCCTTAGGTCAAAAATTACCATGTGGCCTAAGGTATTTACTGTCCATTACCGTATTGCCACATAGCCCTCAATATTACATAAACCTTCTCCAGCTTTAAAATAAAAATACATACAGTAAATGATCACAACCCTGAGTATTTGAAGGCTTCCAACTCATTTAAAATAAACATTTCATACATTGTATTAGGTATTTTTAAATGTAAATCTTATTTTTATTTCAGTAGTCGTGAATTTCAGAAGTTTGAAATTGTGAACAACAGCAATACTGTATGTATGTTTCACAGATTGTAAATCAGATACCATATAATAATGTCTTCACAGAACCACAGTTTATAACATAGTTGCAAAGTTTCTACAGGAGAGTGAATCCTTAATTTTATTTCCTACATGATATACATTATTTAATTGATACGCGATTTCCAATGTTTAACTTGCTGTGACTTACATTCCTCTTTTATTTTAAGCAGGATAAACACTGTGATAACTGCAATACTTGCTTACTATTTTTTAAAGTTTAAAATAGCTTAAAAGCAGTTGCAGGGGAGCCAGATCCTATTCCAGGAAGCAAGGTAGGTACACCCTGGATGGGATCCCAGTTCATTTTCAAGGCAGATACAGACACAAACAGACATGCATACACATACTGGGGCCAATCTTCCCAGAAGCCGATTAACCTATGGACTGTAGGAAGAAATCAGATCATCAGAAAAAACCCACATACGCAGATGCAGAGAGCACCCCAGGCCAGGAATTGAAACCAAGCACTGCAAGGCACCAGTGCTGACCACTGCACCATTGCAATGCCCTCTTGGTTGGGTATTGTATATATAATATAAACCCAACCAATTTGGAATAAGTACTTATGTTTTTACTTTTCGACGATCAGTCTCCTCTGACCCGTCTGACCACCAGGCCACAGTGCAATCACAGCATGTGTAGTCATACAAGAGGCATCCAGAGTCCGGACAAGAGCAATTAGGTCCAGTCTCTGGGGCTTTGGGGAATCTTCTACATTGACAGGCCGAAGGAACGGAACCTTTTCACTCTCGAACAGAGAAAGCTAAGAGTGGACCTGATGCAGGTATTCGCAGTTCTCAAAGGTATTGACCAAATGGACTAGCAGGTCTGAAAGGATTCTCTTCTTTTGTAACATTTCTTCTGCTACAAATTCTGCAATGATTTACAGGAGCGGTTAGAGCGGTTGTCCTTCACTGATGTCATCACACCCGCACGTGGTGCTGTTTTATCTGGAGTGGTTGATTAATCTGAGCTCCACCCTGGATGGTGCTGGTTCAATTATGCGGCTTCTTAGGGAAACCAAGTCAAAGTAGGCTGGTGACATGACTTGGTATCACACTTGTGATGTTCTCAGTTAATCCCTTTGGCTAGTTGGGTTTCATCGAACTACAGATGCCCAAATATCATTTTTACTATTTACTGCCTGGAGGTTGTCCCATCCAGAGGACTACAGGCCCTTGAGTCTTGATTCTTTCAGAGAACACATGTAAATCATTGCTACGACAGTAAAAGACACAAAGAAAGCTGCATTTTTGTGAATTAGTGTAACCGTGTGTAATTTTAATGTTCTTAAAAATAATAATACTTCATTCATTTAATTTTTCTGAGAAAACTCTAACATGTTGCAATAATATCTAAAAAAAAACTATATATTTTTTAAAATCTATGCATTTTGTAAATCATTGTCTTTCAGGTCTCAAGACAATTGCCTAAGGACAAATGACACTGATTCCCATACTTGATGGCTGAATAGTTAACACAAACTAGTCTGGCATGTTGATTGCTGACACGAGCAAGACCAAAGCAAACACTTCAGAGAGACAAAAATAATTCAGTTATTACTTTTGAGAAAGTGGACTACAGTACTGTCTAAATAGAGAGAGGGGTGGTATAGTGTCGATGGATGCCATTTTAAGGGTTATGGGTATATGGAACACTGGTTTCTTTCAAGAAACAACTGAAGGAGATTTTTCAGATCCGTTAGCTACTCACTACCAAACAGGCAAGATGGGACATATGACCTTCTCTTATTTGTACCATTCTTATGTTCTTACAGTATGAGTAGTAGTTAGGGCTTAGGATTCCTAACCGGAGGGTTGATATTTGAAGACACTGCTGTTGTGTTTTTAAGCAAGGTACTGTACCTCACCCTGACTGCTTTAGTCCACTCTGCTACGCAATGGGGAGCTCAGGACTCCATCCAGTGGGGAGTCATGAGCCCTCAGTCTGCTTAACACTACAGAAGCCAGGACAAGCTCTAGCCTTGTAAGTCTCTAGGCTCAAGTACATACTATGTTCGTCTGCCCAACAGTTTTGACAGCAAAGAGAATGTTACAGAATCCACAGCCCCAACAGAGATTGTCCTTTTGTATGTGATCTGGGGACATGTACATCAATTGTGTACTAGACAGCCCCATATTTATCTGAAGAGATATTCAGTGTGAGGGGATTGCAGCGACTTATTAAAGTGTCATACACTACAGTGCTATGGGCATGTGTGAAGCAACAATGACAAACAGGTCAGCTACTAAATATAGTACCTTTCTACCTTAAGGAACTGACATGTCATGAAATCGCACTTCTTGTTTAAAAAAAAAAAATGTTCAAAGCATCAGTGTGTTGCTTTCCCCACACCTGAACATCATCAAACATAAAGTAACATCTTTCGTATGTCTTTGTCATGAGAACCTTTTTAAGAGACCACCGAAGGAATGAGATGAAGGTCTCTTAAAACAAAGCTTGTTATTCTTCACCTTCTGTGTTCTGCCGCAGCTTTCTACCATCTGTTGCAAGCAATACTTACCTAATGCCTTTCTCTCTTCACATATTACCTTTTATTTCTAATATCTCTGAAAACAAATTAGTTTTTTTTGAGGAATCCGACAGTCGTGCTCAGCAAACAAAATCACATCTTAGCTGGTATGCACCATGTGTTACAGCTGTTTATGTTTAAAAGAAGAAGGGAGATAAGGTTTCTGTGGTGAAAAATAGCTTTGTGGTAAATGCACACAAGAAAAGTGAAATAGGGCAGAACTAGTGGAAGTGTGACCGATGATACTGGAGAGTAGATGCCATTTTAGACTGTTTAAGGGCTGTTAATTCAGATGGTGAATTTCCAAGTCTACAAACATCATTTAGGAGCACAATTCTTTTTGTTTGTGTTTGCAGTCAACTACAATTATTAGTGATCACATTTTGTGGGTTTGTCCTGTGCAAGGAAAAGACAGAATATATCAAGTGCAATGACGATAGATTCTCATGAGCTGAACTACACTGGAGGTGACACATTACCCTTTCTACGGCTGAAAAAAGGAATTCAGAAAGAAAGACATTGTGTAAGAAATTCACATAGAATCAGAAACTAGGTCTACTGACAGCAATGCAAAACTGACTGCATGCAGTTCTCTTCAGTTCCCAAAGAATGCATTGCCGTGTTAAAATAAAATAAAATTAATACATTTGTCAGGATAGAAGAGAAAGATTACTCCAATCTCAGTGTGACAGATGATGACATTTGCTGTGTAAAAGGGTGTCTGCTGTGAATACAGTACCTTAGTGTCTTTTAGCAACATCTTAAAGCTCACAAGTCATGCACAGACTGGCTTTTTCCATTGTTTCATTTCTTAAATTGTAACCAGTGATGTGAACAAGGTCAGTCACTCGCTCCGGGCAGAAATTGGCGCTGGAGTCAGTTGAATCTGAGTGAGAGGACATTTATGTTTTTAGGTCCGGTGCTGTTTAGTGTATTAAAGCACAATCTGCTGGCACTGTAGGAGGTATCTTACCCACACAGCCAAAATATCAAAACAAGACATTTTTTGGGGGTGGGTCAGGCAATTAATATTGCTTTGGTTTTTCCAGAGTGGCATTTGTTTTGAGGATATGGCCTTTCTGATTCCAGAGAGGATTTTATGATACAGCATTAGTCAGCAGAGGTGTTATCTCACTAAGAGTCAGACCTCTCAAGGCTTAAACAAGGAAACCTAGTGCAAAAAACCCCCAGAAATTAATACAATATTCCATCATCGAAGACCGCACACACCCCAGCTACAAACTGTATGACCCTCTACCATCTGGAAAACGGTACTGGAGCATTCAGGCTCGGACTACCAGACTCAGAGACAGTTTTTACACCCGCACTATCAAACTATTAAACTCCCAGCCTCTCTTACTCTCACCTCACCTCTCACCTATGATCTGAACCTCACAGTGCCTTCTTTCTTTCTTACCAAAAACTCAAACACACATTGAAATCTACCTCTACCATACATGTCAAAAAGCTCACTCCCCATAATTTCTTTTTCTCCCCATAATTTTCCGTTTATTTAATTCTGTTGATTCATGTTTTTCCACATCTGATGTTGTTTTTGCACATTACCTGTTACCTTTTTGTTGTTTTGCACATTGCCAGTTGTTATGTTTGCACACTGTCTGTTGTCTATGTCTTTCTTTTGTTAAACAATTGTATTGTTGTTGTTTTTTCTTTGTAGTACTTAACGTCCGAGAGCTAGCTAAATAGCATTTCGTTATACCATATACCTGTATATGAGTATAATGACAATAAACTTGAACTTGAACTTGCTGTTTCATCCACAAGCTTGTTTGTAAAGTATTAGGAAATATTTGAAAGACAGCATGCAGAAGTCTCTCAGTTCATATGCAGTTTTTACACTGAGTATGTAAATATTGTAACACTGCACTTTGTACAGGAAAAAAAAAGTTTTTTGCAAGTATACTACCTGATCAAAAGATCCAAGCAAAGTTGAACTGCATGAAATGAACTACTTTAAACACTGCAGGTACCTTTTTCAATATCTCAATTTCAAAATTCTGAAATGTCTCAGTGGGCTCATTACAAGTTTTTGCCTGGTATTATCTGCATTGCCATACAAACTGATCTGTATCACCAAATGTACTCGACTTGCGAAAATCTAAAAGTTCTTGAAGGTCTTGTTGCTGAGGACTGTTCACTTGAAATAAATGTCTTCTCTGTACAACACACACAAGTACTGCAGATTCAGGTACTGTGCAAACTAACAAAGGTGGCTTTACAACAGGCCACAAGAAGAGGTGGCCTTCCCACAGTTTCTGTTGCACATTTTGTCATAATCAATGCTACAATGTTTGAATAAGACCACAGATAATTATTAAAGATGTCAAACTATGTTGTCAACTGAAGCCCAGCAGTTCTGCAACAAGAAACAAAATTTGAAACACAGCAAACACAGCACAGATAAATCCTTAAATAAGACAAAGGTCTGTATGGAAGGCAGAGTGAGATTCAGTAATACTGAGGTGGGGCCAGTGACTCATTTTAACACTGGCATGATGCATGTTTTTGAGTTCAGTAAATTTTTCTGCCAGTCCATTCTGAAAGCCATTGCATTCTCAAAACATTTCAACGCAAGGATGAATACGATAAGAAAATAGGCTTATCTGTTATCTGTTAAGTGGAAATGTACTGAAGTGTTTTTTTAATATAGTGCATACATGGTTTAAAATTTCAGGAGTCTCCAACAGGATGAAGAGCTTGGCAAAGGCTTGGTATTCTTTCACACTGCACACCAAATCTGCATTCATTTAAACGGCATGTACCCACATAGATAGTGTTACACCTATTGCAATAAAAAGTGCAAAACAAGAACAGAGAAAATGAGACAAAGTTTAAGTGTTTCCTGACACGAAATTCCTGACTTGGCTGCTGTTGCCTAATTTCAGGGCTTATTTAAAGACTTTTAACTGCAAAGACTTATGACGCTGTTAAAAAACACTGTTATACATTCACTACGAGAAGCAAACGAATCTTTTAAAGGGCCTCTTAAGTCAAACCTTCCGATCAAATTACAAGAACAAAATGCTTCCTGTGGTTATTATTGGCAATATGCTGTGATTTCATGTGCTGTGGTTGCTAAGGGATACTAAAAGAGCTAAAATGACCAAAGAAATATCATTCTGCGGCCCCTGTAGGAAGTTCATGACATATGTCACTACAGACCATTAAAGAAATTCAGTAGGTGGAGGAGTTTGTAATAATGCACTGCTGAAGCCTGGGCTGTCAGTGTTGTGCGGGTCAGAAGTTATTCTGCTGGAATAAAGTCACATCTAGGAGGACAGCAGTCAACAATAAGGAACCGTTTCCAAATCTGACATTAACTGTGAGTCAGCGGGAGGGAGGTGTCTCCACTCTGAGTTCATCTGGGAAGGGCACCCATGGGGAAGTTCATATTAAAAACGAGGTTCTTTTTTTCTAGCAGTTAAAATGGGAACATTGTTAAATCACCTAAATCTGGCAGTTGGTTTTTAATCAGATACGTGTGTATAAAAAAACAAGTAATCTTTTAAGGCAGATCATGTAATCAAATGGTTGTTTGGCCACTAAGTGTGGTGTGCAGTTCTGTAATATTATTCTATCACCATGTTTCTACATTACCCCACCTTAAAACAATGCATTATAAACATTTATATACACAACACACCAGTCCACCGTGTTAACTGTGTTAAAAGTCTTTTTTTTGTTCACCTGTTTCCACAGGAGCTTGTTTTGCAAGAAAACATTCGTTTTAAGAAAGGAAGCAAAAATCCAGTGGCTGTTGCTGCTCATTCTAACGGTGTTCACAAAGCATGGTGATAACATGATTGTGCAGCAGACAGTCGAAATTTCAGGTAAAACAGTTGTTTCACAAAGCAGGTCTGTTTAAGTGTTGATTTGTTTAAGCTACTTTTTGAAAGGAGCAAGTAAAGACTTATAAATAAAATTAGTATAAAACTTAGTGCTAAACATTTTAAACTAACTACCATAACTAAACATGGGCCTGTAGTAAAATGAAACTAGACAAAAGGCAGTTTCTGTATTTGATGTCTTTTTTGTAACCTTAGAAGGAACCTTGCTATTTGTAGCTAATTTGCATATTGTCACTTTAGTTTCTGAGCTATGCAGCATTCGCTTTTCATGGGATTCAGTACCTCCTTTCATGTTTCATTGTTTCCTCACAATAACTCCCTGGCTACATGCTTTCCATAAGTACAGCAATGCTTTCAATCCATGCAACAAATGTCTACCACACAAAAGGCATTGTGTGTTAGCAAAGGGCTTAATAACCCTCTTCTGCAAATAACATCCGGATTCCCTTGTTCTGTGACTGCACAATGTCAAGGTTCTGTCAGCTCAAGCCTCCAGTCATCTGTGATTTAAAAGGTATGGAATTCAAATCCAACCAATAACAATCTGGCAAGAACCTGCAGGAGGTACATATTCATCAGCCACCTTGGAGACTTCTAGACAACTGGATATTAAGAATGAAGAGATGTTTGCACCTCGAATTTGTGGGAAGTGGCCTTTCAGACCTTCAAGAACATACATTTTGATAAGCACACAGAGCAAAACGTTTTGTAAGCTTTCCGGGGTTATTTATTAAGTTATCTACAACATACTGTTCTACATATTTCTGCCATCCTTCAAATAATGGCTGAGCATGTAGCTTTGTGGAATAACATCATTTGTCCACTTACAGGGTGCCACAGTTGCTTGAATGTGACACCCTACAATTTCCAAACCCCAAATTGTACATACCGTACTCCACATCTTTCAAAAAACCTCTTTTAAATTTCCTCAAACAGACAGTACAAGGTTTCATATTTACTTGATTAATGTCAGTAAAAGGGATGCCTTTTACTTACAAATGCAAAACTATGTAAATGAAGTTCCTTCAAAAAGGGGGAGGAAAGGCAGTTCTGAACTACCACAAACAAGCCTGGAAAACACACCAGGTACTATTCAGATGGAAACACTAGAAAACAACTGCAACACCAAGTTCATAACAAGTCTAACATTTGCAGAGGTAAATTTCCACTACTGACACCATTTGCAGGACATCTAAATGTACTGTACGTGCCACAAGCAACATTTGCCACATAATAAATATTGTAAAAAGTAGCATATAAACAGAAAAGTTACTAATATAAAAACTCTATTTCTTACAATCGCAATATTTACCATTATTAAGGATAAAATATCCCAGTGACGTTTGTGGGTAGGCAGCTGGTAAATGAACCGAATGCTGGGTTAAAACCTCCCCTTAACTGAGTGCAGGAACTGTTGAAATACACCACTGCACCAGTATAGAGATGCCCTGCTTGGAAACTGTAGGTATGCAATGAGACCAACCTTTTTTACTTTATTTGTTCTGATTGCGAATTCGTAGGCACCTCCTCTTTAGTGGTGGCTCAATGTCCTCAGGTCCTGTGCTGAGCAGGGGTGCGGAGATGATGCAGGGTGTGATGGCAGTCTTTTCTGTGGGCTTTGGCACAGGCTGAATGACACAGCCGGCCTTGGGCAACATGCGCAGGGCGTAGGCGTGGTCCTCGTCAGCTGGGTTGTTCAGGTTGGGGTCCTGTTTGTCCCCACTGCCCAACGGCTCCTCTGATGAAACCTTCTTACCTGTGTCCAGCTCCATCTGGAAGCCGCCAGCCCCCGTGCAGTTGTTCTCCTTCACTGACTCGAGTTCGCTCACCGCCGGCTCTTCCAGCGGGAGCTGCTGGGCCGTTTTCCTGGGCTCTGGACGCTGCTCCGAGGAGGCGCTCTTGCTGGTTGAGTCCGGGGTCTTTGTGCCATTCACGATGACATTGCACACGGCAGCCGGGCTGGGCTCTGGCCCTGAGCTGCTTGACATCAGAGTGTGCTGCTGCTGCGGCGGCGGCGGCGGCACGGCTGGAGGGGCCCCGCAGTGAGCCGGGTCGCTACAGGGCAAAGCTAAAGGGTCGACAGGGCTGCAGCTGTCTCTGCTCTCGTCATCCAGTCCACTGCAGTTCCTCTTGTCCTCACTCAAGAAAGTCAGATTCAGGACACTGTGCGGTGGTTCGTGTTCGACTTTCACCTGAGTGCTTGGCACTGCCCTTTGAATGACATGCTGAAGCCTGGACCGGCGGCCCACTGTTAAGTCTATGACACCATCTTGCGGCAAAGCAGGCAAGTTTGTGAGGGACAACCTGGACTTGACCGCGCTCTCAGCTTTCACAGTCAAATCGACCACTTCAGTCCTTCCTCCTTGTTCAGGGGGGGATGGGTTCAACAGGTGGCCTGAAAACCCTGGGGAAAGTTCGGTGGCATTAGAAGAATCGTGTTTGGTGTTTGCCTCTCCTCGCGAGCCAGGAGAGAAAAGCCGGGTTTCCTTGGACTCACCTGCCTCAGAGGATGTGCTTGGAATGATGTTCTCACTGTTGTTACGGAGACCAGCTGAGGCCTTTGAGTTGAAGGGGATGGGGACAGGGATGGGGATGGGCACTGGGAGAGGAACAATGACCGGGTATGGCACCAACAAAGTTGGGGGTGGCACCAGGGGGGCAAGCGATGGCACACCAAAGTTCATCATTTGTGGCATAGGCATGTGGCCATTTGGCATCATGTTGACTGGCGGGAAGGGCAAGCCTGGCATGGGGGCACCAGGATGGGGAGGCATCAACCCTGGAGGGTTACCAGGCATTGTGGGGGTTGTGGGTGGGTGTATGTGTGGGGACAGCATGGGCCTATGCATGGGGCTGGATGTCGGGCCAAGGTTCCTGGGGGGCGGGGGGGGACCGATGCCAGGGATTATTGGGTTTGGCAGGGGACTGTTAGGGCTGGGAGTGTGAGGTGCACGGAGGAATGGGGAACGAATCTGCGGTAACATCGGGTGATCCATGAAGAAGGGCAAGGGGATGGGCCCACGATGGGTCATCACCATGGGCGGACTTCCAGACGGGACACCCATGGGCGGGGCGGGGATAGGGACAGGAGGGGGGAGAGTAGGGCTCTCATGGGGCTTAGGGCCTGGAGTGGGGATTTTGGCAGAGGAACAGATGGCAGTCGCTTCAGAGGGGGAAGCTGAGGCCGAGCCCGAAGGCCCGGGTGCTTGGTTGTGGCCGGCCATGGACGTGCCAGGAGACGGAGCCTTCCGCCGCAGGTCCCCCAGGGGAGTGTTCCAGGAATCTGGAGTCAGCAGCTGCAAATTGCTGCTTTCGGGCTTGCTCTCCATTGGCGGGTGCCCTGGGTTACAGAGGCCTGCTGGCAGGTTGGCCTGAGTCTCCTTATAGAAAATGTCCATCTTGTACTGGTTGAGACATTTTGCACTGCAGAACTGAAGCCTTCTCTCTCCAGCTCCAAAGTCCAGATATTCCTTCGTGTGTCGTATGTGCTTGCACCAATCACATACCTGGAAAATACGACACAGGAAGAAATTACGCAAATGATTACTCACAAAGTCTTAAATGGAAATATTCATTCTACAAGGATTCATACAGAATCACCTTTTTAATCTCCTTGTGGCCTTACAGTACATACTGTACTGTATATCTTTCCCATTAGCCTAACTCTCATCTTCATGAGGGTTAACACAACCACATTTAAGCAAGGAAAGGTCTTTTTAATGCTGCCTGAAAAAAACAGTAGTTAAGGATATCATAACTATTAACTTTTACTGTATTGTTTAATTAGTTGTTAATAATATTAGTGAGTATGAGTCTAACTAATATGAGTCTAACTAATCTTTTCTTACTGTACTTAATTTGTGACATTACAACTGCACCACCAGAAAATATTGCTGAATGTTTTCAGTCTGACCCAACATTTTCATATATGATGGCCCTCGAAGTTATGACTGCTACAAATGTGACTTATCCTGTCATACTATAAAGCATAAAAAACAACATTGACACTAAACTCAGTACCATGCTTAAAACAATTTGTTCATTAAATCACTCCAAAACCAGTTAAAATCACTCCAAAACCAGGGAAATAAACAATATTCGTCATTCAGCACTGTCACTATAATCAGTCTGTTTACAAAGACCCTCCCTAAAGGATAAACTTTAATGCTAAGAGGATTTGGGAGATAACATATGCCAAAATCATCTTAGGGCATAGCTTCAGGGACAAGTATGTTTAGGAGCAGTAAAAAGCTTTTTTTCAACAATAGGGCAATTTGCAAGTGTAAGGCTATAGGCAGGCAGATAAACGAATAACATTTGTTAGGGTAATGTGCTGTTCGTATGGCACGCTGGGAGTTACCAAGCAGAATGACGTTAAATAGGAATAACTGTATTCTTGTTAGAAAAAAAATAAAGATTTGTTTAGAATTTCAACAAAGATTTGCACTATTCCTTTTCAGCACAAACATGCTTTTGGGAACTGTATCATGAACATTCTCCCAGTTAAATGCATTCTGACTACAGTAAATTTAGGAACTGGCATTCCTTTGAATGACAGGACAGTTTATTAACATCCACAGGTTAGAGGGGGGAATTAGAAAGGGAATTCTTTCAGGCGCCATGCTCTATCTTACACAGACAGCATTCTGATCTCACTTGGTGTGACATTAGCGGGCGCAGTGTGAGTAAACTGGGGTGGGATGAGAGGGTGTAGCGTTATTACCATAACTTAGGTTAAAAAGGCTTTTCATAGTTTGTTTACCTAAATCAGTCAGTCAGAACCATGATGATAAACCTAAACATCTTTCTTAACGTCACGTAACTGTTTACCTAAAAGGCAGTTTTATAAAGAGCTGTGCTGTGCATTATTACACACATATATAAATATGGACTGCTGTGTATCCTTTAAGCTTCCGTTTGCCTTTGCAGACCAAGAGAGGCGCGATAAAAAGGATGTGTACAAAGAAAGGTGTACATACACATATTAATCCCTGACTTAACTGTTACAAAGAGATCATTTCTCAATCATCACGGAAAACAGAAAAACGTAGCACGAAAAGATTAAGCCAAAACAAAGTGTCTTATCGACGAAATGCTCAGGTGAATAGGTTACTGAAAAGAGTGGGTTGGGATTACTGCATTGACTTGTTTTCCACCAGTGGTTTCCAATGTCGCACTAAATAAATACCTTCTCTTCCTGTAAAACACTTGCACTCCTCTCTCGGACACCCTCTACTGATTTCTACATTTCATCAAGTTACAGCAGAGGTGAAAGGGAGAGTGCAAGCGATGCCTGGACACTGTGTACTATGGAAGGACGCATGTGTAAAAGGAAAGGAAAATCTTACAGGAAGTTCAGGAAGTTATTTACCTACAGAACAGGTGTGACTTAAGCACCCTATGATGCAATCTGTGTTGGTAGCTGGATTCTGTCTTACGGTAACCACGGAAATATACTGCAGGTCTTAGGTCTTGTGTTCTGTGTGACCTCACTGAAAAACACTTCAATTAAAACTTGCAGTATTGCAAAATGTATGAAAATGCTTAAAGCAACACGCAAAACTGATAGAGAGGAATACACTGTATCAACATCTCAGAAGAATTGAACAGTCATAAAGGAAAAAACGATACATGGAACAAAATGAACATTTCCTTACTACTCGTCAGTCTCTGTACTCCATGGCGTGGTGCCAGCATGCTACTTTTAGGCTCAGCGAGCGGTATCATTCATTTATTTTCTTGGGAAATGCGCAGCAGCCTACACCGCTAGACCATTTAAGAGGCACTGCGTCAGAAGCCACTGAAAAAAGAAATATACTCCATCTGATACAGAAAGAAATAAAGCAGGCCTGTGGGAGTCTGGTAACTTCTCAGAGCTTATATTTCACACATAAAAAAAACCCCAACTCCGACTGGCAGCTGAGCTGCAGTTTTGATGGCCAAAGTCAAACATGGAGCTCAGACGGTATTGTGAGGTTACCCACATCAGCAGTGCATTCAGTCTCTCAGCTTTAAGGGGAAGTGGCAGTGACTCATGAGAGTTAATTAAGGCATTAATCAGCTGTCAAAGGCCCCAACGCTGTTCATCTATCATCCATCCCCGTAATTCCCCACTGAACGCTGATGTGTGATGCAGTTCGATTATTACTGGTCTGAACCACGGTCCGTCTTCAGCTGTGCCGAGATACAAAAAAAATTCTCTCCAGTGTCTAACTTGCACCTGAGAAAAGGCACCAGCTAGAAAACCGTTTCTGCAAGGTCAGACTTCAAGCTGACCTTCGTTTCTCTTGGTCACACACACACCTCCTGGGGGGAATCATTATCTATCACAACAATTGCCAATTTCACAGGCAAAGTCTTACACAACGCAGCAAAAAACCTAACAACTGCTGAATTTAGTTTTTAGAAGCTTTTCATTAAAATGGTCCTAATAGAATTCTCATTATTTAAAACTACTGTACACAATTTCATTTTCCAGGTCATGTAAAATTCCTAAACCAGGCCTTACACATTGAATAAAAACTGATGTGTGTAATTGGCAAGGCATGACTGTGTTCTTTGTTTTTGCTGTGAACTGGCAAGATCTCAAGCATGATATTTATTAAATTCCCAAACATGAGAACATAGCAACAAATTTGCACATAAACTCTTCTACGTTTAATGAAAATATTAAGAGTCGAAACCCTGGGGCTCAGATGCCTAGCTTGGTGGCTATATTAAGTGCTGAGGCAGGAATTTTAAAACAGATTTCCAAACTGCAAACTGTTGTCATTGCTTGTAGCTGAAGTCCCAGTGTGTGGAAGGGAGCTAGCCTGCACATATCTCTAAATTCTCCACTACAGATGACAGAAGAACGTGCTTCACTTAATGTTCAGATGTACTGTATGTCATGTTTTAGTTTTTAGTCTGGTTAACTGAATGTGGGAAACTGAATGGGGGAACTTCCATCAGCTGCTTTTTCACCTTCCCAATGCTTTGTGACTAAGGAAATCTCCACTTGATGTGCCATGTTTCACATTTTTCCTCTTCTTTCTGCCTCCCCAAATCTTTGCCCTGCCTTAAGGGGTCTTTCCTCATCTGGGTCTCCAGGATTCAGACCCTCACACTTAGTGACCAGATATGCACTATAATTTGAGACTGTCTGTATACTGTAGAAACCCCTTTTTCCACATTATAATAAGCCTGTCCCAATCTCATGAGCAGACATACAGTAAATGCAGAATATTTCTGGTTCAATAGCTGCCATTTAATGCTGTCAAAGAAACACCGGAGCTGTATCCCTGAGGTAGAAAAGTATTTTACTTCGAGAGAAACTGTCAGACTCCTACATTATTAAGAAACAGCAGTATCTGCTTTAGAATAATGTGAGCAGTGTCAAAGGAAAAAATAACAGAACTCACACAGTGACTGGAATGCTGCCTTCACCGGTATTCAACAACGGCCATTGCTCAGTTCATCCACAGTAAATGGACAGGGAGCCCACTACTGTAACTTGTTATAATCATCCATTTTCACTTGCACGCTCCAAAAACTATTAAAATTAATCCTTCAATTCACCCGTAACCACAGGCATTCCTAGGGTATTTACACAAAAAACTGTGTGACTTCTTGTGCACAAGATGTGACCTCTCCTGTTGCCAGGGGAGAACGTTGGGTTATTTCAAGTTCTACTCCAAGCACTGCACACGGGCTCTGTTTTTCAGCCTGAATTTCCCTCCTGTCATATCTGGCTCTGTATGTCCATTCTTCTGTTTTCAGGATGCAGTATGAACTGGAGTAAACTGGAGTTTTTTTATATCTAGACAGGTATAAAACCTCTTCATTTCCATTATTTTATTTAGGTTGGTTTCAATTCTTCATTTTTGTACAGAGCAAAAGTAAAATAGAGCAATGCTCCCATGTGGCCATATTAGAGAAAAGTGAATGTTAAGTCATCACCTGTATATCAAAAGTTTGAATATATATAGTAGGGGTTGTTTATGTTGGCTAATAAGGCTATATACTGTAGAAGACATGTGTTTCTTCTGCAGAAAAGGGGTAACATATCTATACAGCTGTTACAAGCCAAAACAGAAAAAGGCAAGGATACTGCTAAACAATTAACCCAAAACCAAGAGCTCTGAGCCTTCTGAGGGGCAACTGCGGGTATCAGGCACTGATTGATTGATATTACATTACAATATTTGTTGATTCCATTTTTTGTTTTAGAAGAGTGACTTCAGTCCTTAACCAGTTGTGCAACAATTTATGGTGGCACTCTTGAACATTTTTTAATTATAAATGTGCTTTAATTTACTACTGAAAAGACAGATGGGAAGCACTTTCCTAGTCAGAACACTGTGGGCAAATTTCACTGAGCATTAGCGTACACGCTAATGGAGCTTTTTTCTTTTTTTGAAACAGATGTGTGCTGTTGAAAGTAATTACTGTCATTTGTTTCATCGCGCCCCCCACCCTGTGCCTTTCCATTCACCAGCAGTGTAACCCTGACACTTCAGAATTATTA